ATTCTTCAGTAGAAATGGAATACTTGATTACATTTAGGGCATGGAGGCCAATACCCAGTACAGTTCATTCCTTTAATTTTTAAACTCTTCTCTCAGCTATGCAGGCAAGTTCCAGGGCAGACTTTTGGAGGTTGTTTTTGAAAAATAGATGCAAATGCTGTCTGTGCTGTTGTTGTTTTCCTGGTGCCTGGCAGTGTTTGGTAAACAACTTGATTGCTAGGTCCCGGCCTCAGGGAACCACAGCTGCTCTTTCCAGCTCCCTGCAGACTTTTGTACTGAGCAGGGATTGCTTCAGGGAAGAATAAACAGGGGAGAACAAAACAAGAAAACATCACTTGTTGTTTTGTTGCTGCCTCTACCTGTTTTCCTGGAGCTGTTTTGCAACCACAGGCCCTGGGATTTGGGTTCCTTTGCTTTACAAAAACAAGGCAGGCCCGGGTGGCATACCACGCTTCTCTCTCCATGGCTAGACTGTGGCATTTGGAGTAGCCACAGGACTTGAAAAGCATTGGAAAGGACTTAGTAGCCACTGCCAGAACGCATGCATTTTTAAATATGTAAATTGAATAGGGAGAAAGCTTCATTCTTTCTAATGACCCCCAAGATGGTAATCTGGCTTTTCAAATCTCTAGGAAAACAGATTGAATATGGCACAATTAATGTTTCAGCACTTCTAGGCTTTTCGCTAAAATATTTTAATGGGCTTTTAATTTATTGCAGCTCTTGATTAGCAGGGTTGAGGCAGGGTTACTGCTGACCTCCTGGGCCAAGGTACTTCTGGGGCTGTAGTGAAGTGGAAAAGAACAAAGGTTTGATAGTGTTCTCAGCTGGAGCCTCCCAGGGATGAGCCCCTGGGGGTTCACTGAATAATTCCTTCCCCTAAAGTAGTCAGAGAGCAATGCAGTGTTCTTCAGATCTTTATCAGAGTTACCTGGGGTATCTGGTAGAACAGCAGATTCCTGGAACTTGTTTAAGAATCTCTGGACTATGGAGGGCAGGAACTTGGGCCTCAGGCTGGTGCCCCCCTGCACACTCACATTTGCAGTCCATGGCCTTGGTGATTGATATTGCTACAGTGTAAATAGGTGAGCTGGGGTACAAAGCAAGTAGGGGTACTGCTACATTTTTTAAAAGTGTTTGAGACTTGCGCATTGTTTATTAGTGCATTTACTTTTCACTTACTCTAATTCCTAAGTTCGATATTCCCTCCCTTCTTAAATCAAAAAACTTTCTCCCGGAAATTGTTTCTTTTTGGTCTGAAATAAGACTTTTAGAATGTCCTTAAAGAGAGGTGATAAACTTCTGTTTGTTTGAAAAAACTCCTTATTTTACCCCCAGCTTTAAAAGATAGTTTTTCTAGTTATACAATTCTACGTAGGCAGGTTGGGGTTTCTGTCATTTTTTTCTTTTCTTTTTTGTTTTTGCCTCTGCACTGTGGAAAGGATAATTTATTTGGGTATCTATCTTCTGGTATTTTTAAAAATTTCAATTGCTGTATTTCTTTTTTGTCTAGAGTTCAGAACAGTTAAGTATTTTAGTTAGCTATGGGGTTCCATGAAGATGGAATTCAGTCCTATGTCTGTTTAATTCTTAACAACATGCACACACACACACACACACACACACACACACACACTTCCACACACCACATTGGTGATTCACCCTTTATTTTTAGATATGCCTGGTTACTTTAAAATATTAGAAGTCAAATAAGACAGCACTAATGACCATACACATACAGCATTGTTTTTTGTTGTTGTTGTTGTTTTTTCTTGATGGAGTCTTGCTCCGTCACCAGGCTGTAGTGCAGTGGCGCAATCTTGGCTCACTGCAACTTCTGACTCCCTGGTTCAAGCGATTCTCCTGCCTCAGCCTCCCTAGTAGCTGGCGTCACCACACCCAGCTAATTTTTGTAATTTTAGTAGAGATCGGGTTTCACCATGTTGACCAGTGTGGTCTCGATCTCCTGACCTCGTGATCCGCCCACCTCGGCCTTCCAAAGTGCTGGGATTACAGGCGTGAGCCACCGTATCCAGCCACATAGCATATTGTTTAACCGATTTATGTATTAGCTAGAAAACTGCTACTCCTCCAGTCCGAATGAAAACGAAACTCCCACAGGAAACCTCCACTAGCTCTCTCCTCATGGCTATCTTTACTGTTGACTTGCCTACTCCCCACCCCCAAGCCTTCGAGTATGATATTCCGACCTGTGAAATGCGTTTTCCACCCAATCTTCCAATTCCTTCCAAAACCTCAAGATAATGAATTCTTCTGGAAAGCTCTTATCTGCCCAGACACCTACTGGTGCTTTTCTGTGTCACCTGTACTGTTTCTCTGTGCTTCTGAATCACTCTGGAATCCTCAAACTGGAGACAGTGAGTGACCTCATCCATCCTTTGCTACAGGGATTGCAACTTGTTTGTTTTGTTTAAATATAACTTATTTAAAAAGTGAGCTGTCATCTTTGAAAGATTCTGAAATTTTACTAAATAGAAATCTAGATTACTTCCTTTGTTTGTCGAATTGAAAGCTCTTGAGGCTCTTGAGGGTATGTTCCCATGTGGCAGTAATTGGAGGGGGAAGTCCAGTGGCTTCCCCCTTGAAGCTGATAAAGTGAGGATTTCTCAACTTGCTCTGTTCCTTCCCTCTCCCTATTACCTTACACTTGGCCTCCTTCGCTCATTTGCATTACCTGCCTGTTCCAAAATGTGGCCCATGATTGGTAGTACCAGTATGGTCAGGTAATGCCAAAATTCACTTGAGCAAGCCTGGGTCAGAAGGGTATATCACAAAAACTCAGGACTTTTGTATTAGGGTATTGGCTGGAAAATATAGAGTTCCCATGAGCACAAGCTTTATAGAGTCGAGTCAGGCTACTAAAACTCCCTGTGCCTCAGTTGTCTTATCTGCATATTGAGTTTAATAATATCTGCTGAGAACTTTGTTGTAAGAATAGAATGAAATAACGGTTGTAAAAGACTTAATACCCAGTACACAATGAGTTTTCAACAAATGGCAATTATATTTTTAGAGAGTGCCAAAAAGTTACTTCTTTCAATTGTTGATTCATTTACTCACTCAAAAGATACTTACGGAGTACCTGCTATGAGCCGGGCGTTTTTCTGAAATTTTGGAGTATTGCGAGGAACAAAAAAAAGCTCTTTTATCTGATTGAGCTTACATTCTAGTGGGGAAGACAAGTGAGTAAATAGATCATGGCAAAAGCTCTGAAGTAAGCACATGGGATGATATGATTGGGAGTAACTTGGAACCTAATGTAAGTAGGTAGGCAAGACAAGCTTTTTGAAGTGGCCTTTGTCCCTAAGATCCAGTACTGAGAAGGGGCCAGCTGTGTAAGGAATGGGCTCATGGCGTCTCGGGAAGCTGAGGTAGCAAGTCCACCAGCCCTGAGACGGGAAGACACTTGCCTTGCTTGAAACAAAAGGAAGGCCACTGTATCTACATTGGTTATTGTTTGGGATTGGGTTGGTAGTTAAGGTAGGGTCAGAGAAGTAGGAAGTGACCAGATTATGTAGGGCCCTCAGGCCATGGAAAGAAATTTAAATTTTATCCTAAAGATGGTAAACAACTTCAGCCCTTTTCTTTTCTTTTCTTTTCTTTTTTTTTCTTTCTCTTGCTATATGACATAGACCTCATGGCTTTAGGGAGCATGTCTGAGCCTTGGAAGTACTTCTTGGATCTCAAAGCTGCTTGGAGGCTTGGAGAACAGGACTTTGCCATTTGACTCGAAATGTGGTCCATGATTGGTAGTATCAGCATCTCCTGGTAGTTTTCTAGAAATACAGAATCTCAGGCCCACTCCAGATCTAGTGAATCAGAGCCTTCGGGGATGGGTCCCAGGAATCTGTATTTTGAAATGCTCTCCAAAAGATGCTTATGCACAGAAGTTTGAGAAGCATCAATCTAGAAGACATCTGGACAGATTTCTACAGGACTTAGAGCTATGCTCGTTGGAGAAGAGTGGAAGCCTTTCCTGGGCACCCAGGGGATGCTGCCAGCCACAGGGGGTGCTGGCTCAATAGGGTTAGGTACTGGTGCCAGGGTTAGCATTCTAAGCGCTTGAAAAACTCTCTGGTCACAGAACATCTTCAGTGTTGATGGCAGGTCAGCATAAGAGTGAATCATGATAAAAACAAAATAAAAACCAAAAACCTCTATTTAATCAGTACACTTAAAGGAGAAGTTAGTAGTTTTAAAGTGGTTAGAAGAAATACACTTCTTTCAAAAAGACAGAAGCTTAGAGGTGGAAGGAACTTGAAGAGCATCGGTTAATGCCCTGACCCTACAGGTGACGAGACTGGAATCTGGAGATGATAAATGACTGTCCTGGGACCACACTAGTGATTGAAGACCATACTGGGTCCAGAACTCAGGCTTCTCAACTTTTGAGCCCTGACCATCGCACAGTATGTGCTTTCTTGTTGGAAACATCTCCATGAGTATTGCTCATTATGTAATCCATAATCATTTTTAGAATAAAACAGAATTATTTTGGAGAGAAAAAGATGATTACCTTTCCTACTAGTTTTAACGTTCATTATTACTATTAGTATTTCTAAAATAATTTAAAATTATTTTTTTGTTTACTTTTTTTGTTCTTCGATAAAGATCACAACTTAATAGGGAATGGTACATTTATCTGTGTAATATTTTAGTTAAAACAGTTAATTGTTACCTGAACACTTGATAATGGGAAGTGGTATTTTCATATGCTAAAATATTTAAAATACTTGGTACAAAGCCCATAATAAATAACAACTTTTCGGTGTATGTGTTGAAGTGATTAGTAAATGTATCTTTCAAAACAGTATTTCCGGTTCATATTTGACAGCATCACACTTGATGTATTGACATACCCTGGCTTGAACGGTGTTTTCCCCTACCTCAAGAATCTATGTCTTGCTGTTTTCAAGTGTAAGGAAGTGGTGGTTTTAGAAGTTACATCTTAGTTATGTGTAAAAAAATATTTTTGTGTTGCAGTGTCCCAGAAGCTTTTGTTGACAATTCCAGTTTCCGAACAAAACATTTCGGCAATGGTGAGGGCTTCGATCCCTTCTCTGATTTGCTGTCAGCCATGAACGGATGGATGTGATGCCTGCTAGCCAAAAGGGTGAGTGAATGAATGTTTGTGATTATTCATCTGAAAATTCACAAGACAAAAAATCCTTCAAGACAGTTGCCCACCCAGGATGAGAGCTTCTCATCTTGAAAGAAAGGACAAACTCTGTCATTGTTTTCTGGTGTAATCTTTTCAGATAATTCCTACAGTGATCTGAGGATTTATAAAAGGCATAATAGGACATAGGAGAACTTTCTGTGCTTGCTTCTTTGTTTTAATCATATTCTGAAGAGTGGACTATGTCAGTTTTGGGTCATGTGCAACATTGAATGAGTAATTGCTTTTTTGGTCTCATTACAACTTGGTGATAACATGAGCCACCATGAAATAAGACAATAATTTTTTCATCTTGAGTTTTAGGGAAAATTTGAGTCTAATTTGTTCCTTGAGAGAGTCCCATCCCAAACTTTTTGTATGATCAGGACTTTTGAGAAAGCCGAAGGATTGGAAACTTGGGATTTTCAAATATTTTTTGAAAGACTTCTGGGATTTTTTTTCTATTGTATAGAAACCTTATTAGGTTATTCACTGCCTTTTTAGGGCGAGGTTAGAAGGGACATGATGATATTTTTCTCTGTGTGTTTTCCATCTATCCTGTTCCTCATCAATCAATGACTCCCCTGTAGTAATGAACACTGTGACTTGTTGTTACCAGAGACAATGATTGGTTGAGGCCAGGCATTTTGGGTGACAACTCTGACATCATTTGTGGTAGCCTTGTCATTGAATGAAGTCAGTTTTATGGAGAACCATATCATTTCAGGGTTTGTATTGAATAGCATTTAATGGTAAGACCCATTGGCATAAACTCATCTTTTTCTGTCTTAGTGTAGTAATATTGCAAGCAAATTGTAAATAATGGAGAGAAGGGTAGTGAAGCAGAAGGGGCACTGTATTGGGAGTTGGGAGGCTTAATAGTAACCTGGCATGGGGCAAATTAGTCTCTCTCTTCTTTGATTTTTTTTCTTTTTTTTTTTTTTTTGAGACGGAGTTTTGCTATTGTTGTCCAGGCTGGAGTGCAGTGGCGCAATCTCGGCTCACTGCAACCTCCGCCTCCCCAGGTTCAAGCAATTCTTCTGCCTCAGCCTCCTGAGTAGCTGGGATTATAGGCGCCCGTCACCGTGCCTGGCTGATTTTTGTATTTTTAGTAGAGACAGGGTTTCACCACATTGGCCAGGCTGGTCTCAAACTCCTGACCTCAGGTGATCCGCCTGTCTTAGCCTCCCAAAATGCTCGGATTACAGGTGTAAGCCACCACGCCAGGCCTGATTTTCTATATCTAAAACAAAGCATTTAGGTTAGAGGATCCTATTCTATCAGTGTTATTGAGGCCCTAGAAATTATCTATTTAAACACCTCAGTTTACAAATGGGACAGCTTAAGTCCATGAGTCTAGGTGGGATAGCTAAGTCCCCGGGGTTGGTCTGGACTGGACCATAGCTATTTGGTCATGATTCAGTGGTTCTTTCTAGCTTATTTCAATTACAAAGATTAAGACATCCTGCCCATTTAGCTTTGTGAACCTCCTCTAATGATGTGTCTAACACATTGTTATGCTTTCAATTATTTGGGCCAGATTTGCAAAGATTTTATAGCTAGAGGTCATTTTGACAAATCCTTCCCATTTTATACATTAAAAAATACGTTAGTTTTATTGTCCAGAGAAACTGTGTTCATGGTGAAGCAACTGGCTCAAATGTTAGCGACCAGATGATTTTCAAAGAGCTATTGGCTCAAAAAGGCACTTCCTGTCAGTTTGTTAACTGATAACTTGTACTGGTTCTGCTGGAGCTAGAGAGAGAGAGAAAAAAATCCAGTCTCTTATCTTCCCTACAGTATTACTTCTGTCAGTGGCAAGAAATAAGGCAAATAGTAAACAGTAACACACAGGCAAGGGTGTCCACAATGAAAAGAAATGGTTAATGGAGTCATGAAATTTTAGAGTTGTTGGTGATCTTTGATCTTTTTACTGGGTGGCCTTGGGCAAGTTGTTTGGTTCCCTCACCTGTGAACTCCTGAGGTTTTCCATTGCTATGCATGTATGATAGACTTTTGTGGATGGTCTGTAGATTAGTGAACAGGCAGCACGTGCTAAGAAAATTTGTATCTTGGCCAGGTGCGGTTGCTCATGCCTGTCACCACAGCACTTTGGGAGGCTGTGGCGGGTAGATCACCTAAGGTCAGGAGTTCAAGACCAGCCTGACCAATATGGTGCAACCTTGTCTCTCCTAAAAATACAAAAATTACTTGAGTGTGGTGGCGGGTGCCTGTCATCCCAGCTACTTGAGAGGCTGAGACAGGAGAATTCCTTGAACCCAGGAGGTGGAGGTTGCAGTGAGTGAAGATCGTGCCACTGCACTCCAGCCTCAATGACAAAGTGAGGCTCAGTGTCAAAATAATAATAATAATAATAATAATAATAATAAAGAAAAGTCGTACCTTTAGGAATTCAGGTAGAGTTGAGAACAAAGCCTTGGTCTGTTTCATATACACATGAGAATTCATCGAAGTTGTTAGAATTCTGAAGGTATTGAAATAACAACAAACTCAGGTTTTTGGTTACATGTCATCTCTGTCTTTGGTATTGAGAGAGTCTGACTCAATCTCACTGTTATAAAATTGATGTATGAAATTGAACAAAACCACATGAATGGATTTGTTGAAGACGAGGCTCATTTTATTCATTAATTTCAATTGGGTTTGGCCCATTATTTGAAAAATCCATCTGAAGAACTATAATGAAAATGATATCTGTTTTGAAAAAATGCACTTTTAGGCCTAGTGGAATACTAGGTTTTTTCTAAATAAGGAAATTCTTAGTATTTGTCAGGCTTAAAAAAACTTCCCTTCTCTGTATTTTTTAGTAGAAGGTAGAGGTATCCTATGAGCTGGACCACATGTTCTGATTTTCCATTCTCCTTCCCTTTTTTTTTTTTTTTTTTAAGACAGAGCTTTGTTCTTGTCACCCAGGCTGGAGTGCAATGACACAATCTCAGCTCACTGCAAGCGATTCTCCTCCCTCAGCCTCCTGAGTAGCTGGGATTGCAGGTGCCCACCACCACACCAAGCTAATTTTTTTATTTTTTAGTAGAGACAGGGTTTAATTATGTTGGCCAGGCCAGTCTCGAACTCCTGACCTCAGGTGATCCATCCGCCTCAGCCTTCCAAAGTGCTGGGATTACAGGTGTGAGGCACCGTGCCTGGCCCCATTTTTTTCTCAAAGTGCGTTTCCAAGGCTTGCTCAGAAGACTCACTGTCTCCCTCTGTGCTGCAGTGTCTGGCCTTCCATGCATTAGGCATCTGATAGTCATTCCATTGTCAAACATTTATTCACAGTCCTGTGCCTTTTAGAACTTTACAGTTTATTGAATAACCAAAGGAGCACCAATTAATTGTTGCAGCTGATAATTTGGAGTCTTTAGGCTTGAAATAAACTCTAATTCTGAGTGAAGTGTTTCATGGTTAGTGTCCTCCTGGTAGACCAGGGTCAGAGTCACAGAGGTAGGCAACCAGAACAATAAATTGCCTCACTCAAACACAAGGAAATGAAACCATGAAATAAAAGGTTTCCACAAATAGATCATTATGGCCAATTTTTTAAGGTCAGAAGATGGGTAATGTACTCAATTGATGCTGGCGATAACCATGCTTGCATAATAAATTGACTTAGAGGCTGGAGACAGTGAAAGAAGGGCTGAGCACTTCGCATCTCTCTTTGTGCTGTGGTTCTTTAATGCCACCGTTCACCAGGAAGGAGTCAGAGTTGCCTCCTGTTTCCTGGTGTGAAGCTTTAGTTGACACTGGTACCTATAGGATGCACATCACGGGACTTCCAGAGTGAAGACTGGCAATGCCTGCTGCATATTTAATCGGCAGTTAGCCGCAGTGTTATTAATAAATGTGATCGTAGCAATTTGTATTTGCATAGAGTTGTTTTGAGAAGGGCTGACTAGAGATGGCAAATGTGTCAGTTTGTTCGTCCGACTCTGCTCTGTCATTACATTGTCTCTACCAATAAGTTTTCCCTTGCTTGTAATCTGGTGAAAGGATATAAATGTCATGCAACATTGTGTGTGATTTGCTCACAATTGTTTTCCCTTATTTGCCCAGCCTTCCTCTTTTGATCTCTCTCATGGTCAAATTGCTACCTTTTGACTTACTAGGAAGAGATGAAAACATGGGCAGATGCATCCTTCTCACCGAAGACTTGGTGAAGGGCTACTTTTTGGCTAGGAGTTCCTTTCTTTTGAAAATAAAACTCGAGAATATGGACTTTCTGTGACCGGTTTTGGGGTGGGGCAGTGGTGGCACAGCTTCCAGAAGGTATGTGCAGCTGGCAGGTACCTTGGGCCAGGAGAGCCAGCCGACAGGGTTCCTTTCTGGTCTGCTGTGTGCTGCAGCCTGTCAGAGGGCCAGCCCACTATGTTGTACTTAAACTTCCAGTCTCTGGAATTTTGACTTTGAAAAGTAATTTTAACAATTTAATAAACTACATAATATGTTTTATAAGCTGGAGCGAATGATCTTAAGTATTTTGGTCTCTTTCATAACACAATGAACCTAATATTGGTAAAAATACAGATCTTCACTCACACCATAAAGACAGTCTAGATTTAATAAGCAGTTATGAGTGCTGGCAGCTGCCTATCAGATTGTATCACTCAGGCTCCCGCATGCGAAGACAGTGTCAACTTACATTTTATCTGTGAAGTATTTTCGATGCGTTTATTTTGCCTTTCTCTCCAGTTCCTAACCCAATACAAGTAATGTAATTGGCTAAATATTTTCCACATAGCTAACTGTCTAGGGGCCAAGGTGGAAACCATTGTCTGGCTTGATGAAGATGAGAAATTAACATGACATTTACTTGGAGGTAATGGAATATATTAGTAATGCAGTAATTCAGGATGGTGAGACAGTGTCCATCCCTTCCTGCCCATAAGCAGCAGGAGGTGTTCAGCAGATGATGAAAGAACCTCCAAACCCCCACC